TCGTCCCGGACCCACATGGCTGTCAGGAGATATGTCGGGCACCGTGGAGTCCGGGCTGGAGGCGGGGCCTCCCGTTCGCCACCTGCTCTATAATCTGCTCTCCCAGCCGCACGCCAGGCAGACGGATGACCAGCACCCAGCCTCCCGCTTCTTGGCTCTGTCATCTCTCCCCTCCCTGTCTCCACTCTTACTGAAGTTTAGGTAGACAAATAAGCCCTCTGGAAAAGCTGCAGAAATCACGCATATATATGCACGATTCCATGGATATATAAATGCACTGCAGGCTGGATGGGGCGGAACCCGGAGCCCTATTTGCATTTTTGCCGTCTTCCCCGGGGTTGGCCTGGGAGATGACTGGACGGTGTGGCGGGCCTCGCTAGAGAAGCTGGCCACTGGGACTCCTCACCCATCCAACACCACCACCCCCGATTTCATTTGACGATCCTAAGGGAGAGAGGTCCCACACCCCCCAAAAAGACAACACGGAAGCCATGGAATTTTAGGACTTTGACACTTTCTTTGGCTACGTGTTTTGACTGTTTTGGAGGAAAACCCCTGTTTATTTTAGTGAGTGCTTCCGGTGCCCAAGTGCATCCATCGTTGAGGTGAGGAAATCGGAGCCCAGGGTGAGTGGTCACTTGCTTGAGGTCCCAGGGTGGTGAGCCTGTCACAGAGCGAGCACCGCACTCAGCAGCTTCCTCCATACCCTCCTTCCCCCTCTCTGCCCTCCATCAGTCCCCCCAACATATGGCCAGATGCTGAGGGTGGGGGAAGATGGCGGCTCCAGGCCGTCGGGGGGTTGGGGTGGACACGGCAGAGGGGATCAAGCAGCGGGGGGGGGGTTGTTATCTGCCAGGCGTAGCGAAGCCCGGGGAGGCCACTCCAGGCCCCAGGTGGGGGTAAGGCAGAGGCCAGGTTCAGGGCTGGACTCAAGGATGCCCACAAGCTCCAGACGCCCTGCCTGCTGCCCATCCTGCAGACCACGTGGCGGGCAGGGGGGCTATGGGTGCAACATGTGCAGAGATTCACATCCAAAACCAAGTCCCAGGTTGTAGCCTGGCTTTAGACAAGGCCACACTCAAAGTGTCACAACCTGATGGAAATGGGTTGGTTTTTAAGTGGAAGTTACACCACCTTCCTCCGTTTTAGGAGAGAGAGGTGGCCTAATGCAGTAATCAACCAGCTGCGTTCTGGAACCCGACGGGCCTGGGTTAGCTGTGAAGTCTGTGAGCCCCGTGACCTTGGGGAAGGTGAGCCTCCATCTCCTTATCTGGAGAATGGGCATAAGAATAGGTTTCCTTGTGTGTAAACTGGGCTCAAGAAGAGACTGTACCTCTTAGGGTTGTTGAAAAGACCAGGACTTGTCCGGAGACCTCTAGCACAGAGAAGGTCAGGACCTGCCTCATGACTGAATTACACTTTCCTGTGTTTAGGACCTGATTCTAGGAAACAGAACAGGCAGGAATCCTCATTCTCTGCCTCTGGGAATGGAGAGATGGGCAAGATGTGGTCCCTGCCCTGGAGGACGGACAGAGGAGCCAGACAGGAAACGTGCTGGGCAGGAGCGTGGCCCTGGTGGTGTGGAGAACAGGATCTTCTCGCGGTGACGGGGACACGTCTAAGATCGTAAGAAAGTTCATGCTAGGTTCAGTCCGTGCGGCCGTAGTACTGTATAGTGTTCTAACAGGCCTGGGGACCAAAGAAGTCAAGTGTTGATATAGAAATAAAGAGCCGTGCTCGCCACTAAGCGATGTCCCCTGATTGATGTCGTTGTTTCAGATCCTAAGATGAACGGGCCAGAAGTGAGTTCATCTCAGACTCCAGTTCTTTCCAAAGGGAACTTGGACGGCTACTTTATAACTGCTGAAGAGTGCCTGAGACAGTTCCCCCGGAGACTGAAGGAATCCTTCCGGGTAAATCATGACCTCTCTGCCGCTTGGCTTCTCCAGACACCCCTCCTACCCTCTCCTCGTTCGCAGCCATTCAGCTGCAGTAGCGGGTGTGAGCCCTGCGGCCCCAGCACGTCCCGCTCGTCGGGACGCAGAGCGCTGCGTCCACAGACTCAGGCTTGCCTTTTCTCCCCTTCCCGGGACAGGGCTTAACTCTGCGATCCCCTCCCCTCCCCGAGGCCCTTCCCTGCTGACACTTTGCTGGGTCTGCCTTCTGCCCCTCAAAGACCTTGGAGAAGTAAGGAGACCCTCCTCACAAGACAGGGAGGGGTGGGAAGGGGCATGCCAACCCGAGTTACAGTGAATTCAGGATGCCTTCAGGCATTCCATCCACTCTACTCCTGCGCTCACCAAACAAGCATTGTGCACTTACGTGTCATAAGCTGGACTCTCTGCTAAAAGCTAGGGCTGAAATATGGGAGACCTGCTCAGAGAGCTTAGTCCAGCCCAAGACACAGATGGTCAACAGACAGTTCGACACATCATGATTGGCTGCCGTAGAGGGACCGGTACTGTGCTATGGGAGCACAGGGGAAAAAAACCATTAAGGAGGGCTTCCTGGTGGAGGTGACCCCTGAACCAAATCTTAAACCCTCAGCATGTGCTGGCTAGAAAAAGAAGGGAGTGAAAAATAGAAGAGTGGGCTTGCTTAAGGCGGGTGGCAGACGGGTCATGGGCTTTAAGGAAAAGCTCCCAGGTCTGCGTTACTGAGGTGTGGTTTGCATGCAGAAGCTGTAATGGATAAGACAGGAGAAATAGCAGCCATTCAAACACAGAGGCAGGAATGACTTCAAATGTTTTTGTGTTGAGAAGTAAAAGAGGGTCATTAAAGTGGGAAGGAAAATTGATAAATCGACCACATTAGCTACAAAACGGGGCAGAGGGCATGAGGGAGTTAGAATGTGTCCTCGCCAGGGTGTGGAGACCCCAGGGTGTGCAGGGGCAAATGCCTCAGTGGCTGAAAATCCAGTGAGTCCAGGGGAGGCGAGGTGGGGAGCACCCTGTGGGTGGAGCCAGCCCCCAGGGGCAGGGCATCCAGAGTTTGCTGTGCTTGAAACATCTTCCTCGCCTGGATTGCCAATTGGAGAATCATTTTGGTTATTACTGAGCTCCCATTTTAAAATATATACTTATGATGACTGTCTAGCTCGGATTTGCGGCATGGTTCTGACTTTGACTATTCGGTCCAGCCGTCGGAGCGAACGTCCCAATTCTTGGTTTGAGAACGTATGGTCACCGTAAGCAGACATGGGGAGGGTTAGTCCTCATCATTTCGTCCAATGTGATGCCCAGCAGAGAGGAGCACGGAGCAGGCGGGGGTCATTTACGGGGCGGAGAGCCTGGCGGGAGGGAGAGAGGGCGGAAGGGGAAGCAGAGGCACGGGGGCAGCAGCGCCTCCGTGCTGGTTAGCAGGGCCGGGCGGCCATCGCCCACTGCTGCCTTTGTCCTGCGGCCTCACCCGTGGCAGCCCAGGCCCCTTGCTCTGGCCCGTCCCCGCCTGTCTCCTCCCAACTCTCCTTTCCCCTGGGCACACGGGGAGGCCAAGCTCCCTGCTGGCGCCACCGCCTTCCTACGTTTATTATCAGCGTAGCTTGGTTATGGCGCACAGACGTCCCGTATTTCCTAAGATGGTCTTTATTTTAAATAGTTAACTAAAAACGTTCACCAACACCCACGCATCCTGCAAAGAACTTATAACCTAGTAGATAAGACAAAGACGTGAACCCCTAATCGCCAGGGTTTGCGTGATACAGACTCGGGTGCTGGTTATATCGGGTTCCCCGGGGGGCTGCTCGTCGCCCTCACGCGTATTTGTAAACGGGACAAAGAGTGTGTCTTTTTTTTTTTTTTTTAAATTTATTTTATTTGTTTATTATTTTTGGCTGCGTTGGGTCTTCGTTGCTGCGCGCGGGCTTTCTCTAGTTGTGGCGAGCGGAGGCTTCTCTTCGTTGTGGTGCGTGGGCTTCTCATTGCGGTGGCTTCTCTTGTTGCGGAGCACGGGCTCTAGGCGTGCGGGCTTCAGTAGTTGTGGCTCGCGGGCTTCAGTAGTTGTGGCTCGCAGGCTCTAGAGCGCACACTCAGTAGTTGAGGTGCACGGGCTTAATTGCTCTGCGGCATGTGGGATCTTCCCGGAGCAGGGCTCGAACCCGTGTCCCCTGCACTGGCAGGCAGATTCTTAACCACTGCGACACCAGGGAAGTCCCAAAGACTGTGTCTTGATTGTTGAGTGGGAAGGTACAGTCACTTTATTTCTTTTATTGAGTTCCTATTCATGAGAAATTCTTGAATATCTCTCTCCATCAATAATGAAAAAACTATTTCGTAGTAGTTGAAAATGCTATTAATCCTGCTGCTGCTGTTGTTTGCCCAGTGATTTTGTAGCCAAATGAGTCCATCTCAGCACAGTTAGGTTTACGGACAACAGCACAGTTGAGTAAGGCAGCCTCAACCTCATAGCCCAGGCCAAAGACCACGAACAGTCGAAGGAAATAATTCACTGTGACCAAACAAGGGGCATCCCCCCTCCCTGATTATGGTGAGGAAAGCAGGCACAGAGACCCCCTGGGTGACCTGGGGACATGAGCTGGGGACAGGTTCCTGTGGCCCTTGTGGGTTCACCATCAACCTCACCCTCTAGATAGCGTCCGTGCAGGTTCAGGCGCATGTCTGTGAAGTCATGTATATTTTAAAAAAAATAAGCAGGATCAAAATCCCCACACAAATAGGGTCTCCTATACATATGCTTCTGCCACTGCATTTTTCACTTCACAATCTGTCCTGGACACCTGACCTTGCAGGGTGATCCCAACACGCAGCTCTGGTCAGAGTGTACCCTTTCTCTTAGGATGAGCCCGGGTCCTGCCTGGCTGGTCTGCAGCCCCTCTCTGGCCCCTCTCGACCCCCCTCCTCTTCCCGTCACACTCCGGCCAGCACCCAGCCTCCCCTTCCTGGCCTTGCACATTCTACTCCTTTGCCTGGATTGTCACTCCTCTCTCTGTGACCAGCTAACTCCTACCAAAGCGCTGGTCCTTCTTAAGTTCTTGGTCCTCCCTCTGGCCCTTCAGACCTGCTGGGAGGTCTGCTGCTGTCCACTCACCTTCCGGCATGCAGTGTGCGGGGACTTGTAATTCCATGAGACGTCAAGGCACGATAACACAACTGGCTACCACGGTGCGTGCCATGCAAATAGGTGTTTGTTGAATGCATAAGAGAATTCACTTTACATGCCAGGCAGTGAACCTACATGGCCTCAGTTGTTTCAGTCCCCACAACTAGCCTATCAAGTAGGTGCTAGCATTCCCATTTTATAGATGAAGAAACGGAGGGTCAGAGATGGGGAGAGACTTCCCCGAAGCCACATACCTAGTAAATGTCGTAGCCAGGAATTGAAATAATATCTTTTTCACTCCAACATGTGTTGGCTCCAATAAAATTAGGAGTCTTCATGCTGGGAAGTCAAAGACTGAGATTCAGGGAATGAGTAAATTTTTTAAATTTGTGAAGATTATAAATATGGGTTTCCATGGCATCTAGATTGTCCCTGTAGTCCAGCAATTAGGGCTGCGTCAGAGCACTTCTTCCCCCCCACCCCCCGCCTTTTGCTGCATTTATCACGCTGACTTGCTGTAATTTGCTTACACATCTTTCTTCCCTACTGGACTGAGAATCTTGATGTCAGGGGCCAGTTATCAGTACGTCCCTGTACCTAGCAGGGTGCTTGGTGCATCATAGGTACCCAGGAAATATTTGCTGCATCGTTCATACCCAGCCTCACTCCACGGATGTTTCTTAAGCACTGCTCTCTGGACTGGAGCTGTCACGAGGAATGGATCAGAGCCCAGATATCACGTTTACCTTTAGAGGTGGAGCAGGCAGTGAGCACGTGAGTCTCCAGAGTGTCAGGTGGTGAAACGGGCTAGGAAGAAAAATAAAGCAGGGTAAGAGGCCAGAGACCCATCAGAGTGGTGCCCTTGTACACAGAGGACAGGAAATGCCTCCCTGGAGAGGTGGCATTCGGGCAGAGACCAAAGGCCTAGCAGGTCTGGTGGAGAATCCCTGGAGTGCCGGAGGCAGGCTTGGCATGTTCCAACAGCAGCAAGTAGCTTTCGGCTCTCGGCTCGGAGGAGGCCAAGGTGCAACTTTCTTCAGTCGTCCCGAATCCGGGTTCATCTGACACCAGCCGCCTCCACCATGCTGCCTAAGTTCAACCCCAACAAGATCAAAGTCGTGTACCTGACAGAGTCGTGCACGCCC